ATCTCCGTGATCTCACTGGGACTCCGAACAAACTTCGGTCATCAAAAACACATAACTCTTAATACAAATCATCATCGAACGTTAAGCGTGCGGACCCTACGGGTTCGAGAACTATGTAGACATGATCAAGACACATCTGTGATCAATAACCAATAGCGGAACTTGCATGCTCATATTGGCTCCTACATATTCTACGAAGATCTTTATCGGTCAAACCGCACAACAACATACGTTGTTCCCTTTGTCATCGGTATGTTACTTGCCCGAGATTCGAGCGTCGGTATCATCATACCTAGTTCAATCTCGTTACCGACAAGTCTCTTTACTCGTTCCGGAATGCTTCATCCCGCAACTAACTCATTAGTCACATTGCTTGCAAGGCTTATAGTGATGAGCATTACCGAGAGGGCCCAGAGATACCTCTCCGATACACAGAGTGGCAAATCCTAATCTTGATCTATGCCAACCCAACAAACACCTTCGGAGACACCTGTAGAGCATATTTATAATCACCCAGTTATGTTGTGTCGTTTGATAGCACACAAGGTGTTCCTCTGGTATCCGGGAGTTGCATAATCTCATAGTCAGAGGAACATGTATAAGTCATGAAGAAAGCAGTAGCAATAAAACTGTAACGATCATAATGCTAAGCTAATGGATTGGTCTTATCCATCACATCATTCTCTAATGATGTGATCCCGTTTATCAAATGACAACACATGTCTATGGTTAGGAAACACAACCATATTTGATTAACGATCTAGTCAAGTAGAGGCATACTAGGGACACTCCGTTTTGTCTATGTATTCACACATGTACTAAGTTTTTGGTTAATACAATTCTAGCATGAATAATAAATATTTATCATGATACAAGGAAATATAAATAACAACCTTATTATTGCCTCTAGGGCATATTTCCTTCAATGTTGTGTACCATACCTGATGTGTGCCTTACCATGAGTCTGGCAAGGGGGTACATGAGTGATCCAGGAGTGGATCACTGTACAACGGTCAAAATTATCCTTAGGCACCTAATGAGGACTGAGGAAATGTTTCTCGGCTATGGAGGTGATAAAGAGTTCATCATAAAGGGTTACTCGATGCAAGCTTTGACACTGATCTGGATGACTCTGAGTCACAAACCGGATACGTATAGTGCAGCAGTCATTTGGAATAGCTCCAAGTGGAGCGTGGTAGCACAATCTACAATATGACATGCAGATTTGCAAAGCAGACACATATCTGAATGTTGTAGACCCGTTGATAAAACCTCTCTCACAAGCAAAACATGATCAAACCCCAGAACTCGTTGATGTTAATCACATAGCGATGTGAAATAGATTGTTGACTCTAGTGCAAGTGGGAGACTGTTGGAAATATGCCCTAGAGCAATAATAAAATGGTTATTATCATATTCCTCGTTCATGATAAATGTTTATTATTCATGCTAGAATTGTATTGATCAGAAACTTAGATACATGTGTGAATACATAAACAACACAGTGTCCCTAGTAGGCCTCTACTAGACTAGATCGTTGATTAAAGATGGTTAAGGTTTCCTAACCATAGGCATGAGTTGTCATTTGATAACGAGATCACATCATCAGGAGAATGATGTTATGGACAAGGCCCAACCGTAAGCTTAGCATATGATCATATCACTTAAGTTTATTGCTACAGCTTTCATCATGTTAGGTATCTATTCCTAAGACCATGAGATCATGCAACTCCCGGATACCGTAGGAATACCTTGTGTGCTATCAAACGTCACTTCGTAACTGGGTGATCATAAAGATGCTCTATAGGTATCTCTGAAGGTGTCTGTTGGGTTGGTATGGATCAAGACTGGGATTTGTCACTTCGTATAATGGAGAGATATCAGGGGCCCTCTCGGCAATACAACATCATAAAGAGCTTGCAAGCAATGTGGCTAATGAGTTAGTCACGGGATCTTGTATTACAGAAAGAGTAAAGATACTTGCCAGTAACGAGATTGAACTAGGTATGGAGATACCGACGATCGAATCTCGGGTAAGTAACATATCACTGGACAAAGGGAATTGCATACGAGATTGACTGAATCCTTGACATCGTGGTTAAAGCAATAAAGATCTTTGTTGAATATGTGGAAATCAATATGGGCATCAGGTCCCGCTATTGATTATTTATCGTAGAGGAGTCTCGATCATGTCCACATGATTCTCGAACCCGTAGGGTCACACACTTAATGTTCGGTAGTGCTAGGGTAGTATTGAGATATTAATAGTGGAAAGTCTAAAGGTTGTTTGGAGTCCCGAACGGTATCTGGGACATCACGAGGAGCTTCGGTGGTAAAGATTTATATATGAAAAGTTGTTGTCGGGGTTCCGGAAAAAGTTTGGGTTTTTTCGGTATTGTACCAGGAAGCTTCCAGAAGGTTCCGGAGGACTCCCGAGGGGTCCGAAAGTCCGTAAGGTTCCACCACACCCCATACAGTAGCATGGGCTATAGGGGGCACCCTGGCCTTATTGGGCCAGGCGAACCATCCCCTACAAGGGCCATACACCTGAGGAAGGGAAAACCTAAGGGGGAGGGCCTCCACTTGGCCAGGAGGGCACTCCTCCCCCTTGGCCGCCGCCCCCTGCTTTGGGAGGGAGGCTAAGGCTGGCACGCCCCTCCCTCACCCCTATATATAGTGGGGAGGCGCAGGAGGCAGCCATCCCCTCCATGATTGCCCCATCTCCCTCCCGTTACTCCTCCACGTTCCATCAGCACTTGGCGAAGCCCTGCCGAAATTCTGCTGCCACCACCACCACCACCATGCCGCCGTGTTGGTTCAGATCTTATCTACCTCCTTTCCCTCACTTGCTGGATTAAGGAGAGGACGTCGCCGAGCCGTACATGTTCTAAACTCGGAGGTGTCGTCTGTTTGGCACTAGATTGGATTGGATCACGATTGGGTCGTGAAGAGTACAACTACATCAACAACGTTACGACGCTAACGCTTTTGGTCTACAAGGATATGTTGACACACTCCCCTCTAGTTGCCTTGCATCTCTAGATTAGATCTTGGGTGTTTGTAGAATTTTTTTTTGATTTTCATGCTTCGTTCCCCATCACAAACCCCTGGTTTGATGCTTTGATGTCCCATAAAGTTAGAACATTCTTTCAGGGGAGGCGACGTTCCCGTAGACAGCAAGGTGTCTGTGGTGTCTTCATCAATCTCAAGAACCGTCGGCTCAGTTTCTTCGAGATGTTTATAGGGGTAGAGTATGCGTGCATGCATTTATAGGGATGAGTGTATGTACGTGTTTGTGAGCTTCTGCATATTTATTGTGTTTCTCAAAAAAGATATCAACACTTAGATAGCCCCAATAACATTACGGAAACACTAATGCCCACACGTGTGGGTGTTTGCATCTCGCCCACACCCGTGGATCCGAGTCCGTTTGTGGGTGCATGAATCTTGACATGTTTGTGGTGCCAGGTAGGACTGGGCTGGTGGGTGGGCATTCACCCAGTCGCGCACACATCCGTTTCACCACATGGAGGGGCCTGTGTGTGGGCGTTTAGCAGTTCGCCCACATGCCAGTTTTCACTCACGCACAAGGGCTGGTGTGTGGGCATTTGCTATCTCGCCCACACGCCTGTCTCCTCTCCCACACCCAAGCTGCTAGTTGCCACGTGTTTTGCAGTGTACATGGCAACTGCCCTAGTGTGCTTGTAAGCATATGACAACTCTCTTTTTTTACCCGAACATGTCAGTTGCCATGTGTTTTGCAGGGTACACGGCAACTCCCTAGTGTGCACGTAAGCAGATGACAACTCTTGCCATGTTTTTTTGCATGATACATGGCAACTGCCCTAGCGTGCACGTAAGCAGATGACAACTCTTCCTTTTACATGGCAACTGCCCTAGCGTGCTTGTGAGCACATTGCAACTCTCTTAACTGCCTAGTGTTAGTAGGTGGCAACTTCTAAAGTTTTGAAATCATGGCAACTACAGTAGACCAGACCATACATGGCAACTATAGTTGTCCGACATGGCAACTGTAGTTCAGCGATATGGCAACTGCAGTTAAATGAACATGGAAGAGGGTCCAGACCATGACAACTGTGGGGACGCTGGTGACTGTCACACGGGGCGTGCGGGACCATAAGGTAGGAGGTCTGACGTACGGGCGTGTGGGCGTTATCTATTTTGCCCACACGCAGGCATGTGAGAGGGACCGTGAGAAAAAAAAGGCGTGTGGGCATTACTTGTTTTGCCCACACGTAAGCGTGTGGCCTAATCCTCTTAAACACCACACAAACTGTGTGGGCAGACCCCTTAATGCCCACATTTGTGGGCGTTATCGGCGTCCTAACATTATCCAATTTTGAGCCTCAATATCAACTTCCAAACGGTGCCTAATTTCCCTTTCTGCTCGTGCACCGGCCGACAAAATAAACCCTACATCTAAGTGTAACTACCGTAGATACGTCTATTTGGCAGTTAAATTTTGTGCTCCCTAAGCAAAAGCGGTGCACAAATTATGCACTTAACTGAGAGTCGGGACTTGAGAAGCAGCGCCATATTAGGCCTTGTACAATGGAAGGTGCTTAGGAGAGGTGCTTAGAGAAATAAACCAGGCTTTTTTTAAGCACCGGTGCTTATTTGTACAGGATAGACGCTTAACTAAACGTCTCTCCTATAGGAATAGGCACCGGTGCTTTAGAAAAATCAGGTTTATTTTTCTAAGCACCTCTCTAAGCATCTCCCATTGTACAAGGCCTTACTCGTCAAATAATTCAGTAATCACTTCGCCCAGAGCATCGTCACCACAGACAATAATTTGTGTCCCTAAGAAATAATCATTTGGGTGGATAAACTCAAACGTATCTATTGTGACAAACTATGTGCGTTGAAAGCTACCGGGAAGATTCCAACGAACCACTCACACACACTATATAGAGGTCACAAGAACAAGCCTACTGAACGTCCTCAAGAAGAAGCAGAAGCTTTTAGCCGGCAGCACCATGGAGTTGCTTCTTCTTCTTCTTCTTCTTCTCGCATGCTCTCTCATCTTCCCTCTTGCCGCTCCTGCCAGGGAGATCACCAACGCCTGCACCTCACAAGCTAATGGTACTCCCATAATACTCAGTAATATTGGCAGTGTATTTATCTCTTCCCCAGTTAGTTTTCCGTCCATCATAGCTTTTTTATTATAGAAGTTTTCATCATCGTCAGATACCATGTTGTTGCGCAGTACACAACCTAGCTTGAACCGTTCATGGGACCATGATAAATACTTAAATAGACGGATGGATGGCTTATGGTTGAATCAGGGCTGGATACCTATGTCCTTTGTTCTTTTGGAGTTGTAGAGCTTAGATAGAGAGGATGTGGCGGTAGATGGTGTGTCAATTGTCAGGTCTACAAAATTTTCCTTATTTATTGGTTTACTGCTTAGGACGCCAATTTTGTTTATTCTTTATATAAACACATAATACAACTCATGTGTTTTAATCCCTAGCATGCAAAGGGGTGATAACTATTAACCACCTTCGCTAACCATCTTATCAAGATTTGAGATTGCTAACCCGACCTGCGGCCCGGTTTCACTAACCTAACCATCTTAGAATCAGTTTGCATCGCAGATTTCAACTTTGTTAGAGATTTGCATTACACATTTCCAAGAACACGTACAATATGTGAAATTCACGAGGCATATTTCTGTAGAAATTCAGGCGCCAGATAGTTACCGAACCAGATAATTAGCAAAGATAGCAACCATTAAGCTAAGCAACAGTGCTTAGGAAAAGAGAAGGTGACCATACAGAGCGAACCAAGCAGTGATAAGTGGCACGAATAGACGCTTGCGTGAACCAGTCTGACTCTCCCTCCCCGTAACTGTCGACGAATCAATTCAGTTTACTCCGTTTGACGGGTTTCCTCTGGCGTTGGACTTTTGGGTAGTACAATCATGGACAAATTGGTAACCTGTCAATAATTGATAAAGACTTGAAAGTTGTGATGTGGAGACAAATGAGAGGGCATGGCAACCGGTGCTCCATGGGATGGGAGCATCGTCTGTTGGTGCCTGGATGAGAAGAAGGGAGAAAGAGGAAAAAAAAAAGGGAGAAAAAAAAAGAAGATTCGGCGACAAATTTATGTTGCAGCTGGTGACAAAATGGATAGGGTTTTAGTTACATGGTTACGGAAGGCGCGTATAATTGATAAAATGGGTTGTGACAAAATTCGTCTTCATAGAATGTTAGGCCAGATTCTCCTGTTTGCTAATCTGCTGACGATCCCTTTCGTTTTGTAATTCTCCACGTCAACACCAGACCGTGACTCCCTACCAACTTATATCCAAACATCGTTGGAGTGAATAACCCGACGCGTCATAGTCATGTGCGTACAAAGTTACGTGCAGTCCGCTGCTACCAAAATATGTTGGACGGACGGACTAGCTCCATCTGAAAGCAAACCACATTTTGAGTAGTAAAAAAGAAAATGCAGGGGCACTCTTCATGATCCCTTGTGAAGAGTTAAGTTGGAAAATTATAAACCACTACTACCAGTTAATCTCAGCAAACGGTAACATGTATTTGCAAAAAAAAAAAGAAAAGAAAAGAAAAAGCAAACGGTAACATGTGAAGGTAATGGCGTGAGTAATAACAAACTATGCGATGGTTTGTTGCAGTTTTTCAGCACGTGAACGGCACCGGCATGCACCTGCCGCTGCACCACCCGCAGAGCCCCTGCTCGCCGGCGCCTCTGCCCTCGGACCCCCCCTTCTCCGCTGTGATCGCCCACGACGAGGCGCGCATCGCCCGCCTCGCCTCGCGCCTTGCCAAGACTCCCTCCCGCCACCCGACGTCGCTCCGCCAACAGCACCGCGAGAAGTCCTCCGGCGATAACCACCTCGCCGACTCACTGGCCAGCTCGGTGCCGCTCGCGCCCGGCACGTCGGTCGGCGTGGGCAACTACGTCACCCAGCTGGGCCTCGGCACGCCGGCGACCACCTACGCCATGGTCGTCGACACGGGGTCGTCGCTCACGTGGCTCCAGTGCTCCCCCTGCGTGGTGTCGTGCCACCGGCAGGCCGGCCCGCTCTACAACCCGCGCGCGTCCAGCACGTACGCCGCCGTGCCGTGCTCGGCGCCGCAGTGCGGGGAGCTGCAGGCCGCCACGCTCAACCCGTCTTCGTGCTCCGCCTCCGGCGTCTGCATCTACCAGGCAACCTACGGCGACAGCTCCTTCTCCCTGGGGTACCTCAGCAGGGACACCGTCTCCTTTGGCTCCGGCAGGTTCCCCGGCTTCTACTACGGCTGCGGCCAGGACAACGAGGGCCTCTTCGGCCGGTCGGCCGGGCTCATCGGCCTCGCGCGCAACAAGCTGTCGCTGCTCTACCAGCTCGCGCCGAGCCTCGGCGACTCCTTCTCCTACTGCCTGCCGACCACGGCGTCCACCGGGTACCTGTCCATCGGGTCGTACAACCCGGCGGAGTACTCGTACACGCCCATGGTGTCCAGCTCGCTCGACGCCTCGCTCTACTTCGTCAGCCTCGCTAGCATGTCCGTCGCCGGGAGCCCGCTCGCCGTGTCGCCCTCGGAGTACGGCAGCCAGCCGACGATCATCGACTCCGGCACTGTGATCACGCGCCTGCCCATGGCCGTGTACACGGCGCTGAGCAAGGCGTTGGGCGCGGCCATGGGAGGGGCGCCCCGCGCGCCGGCGTACTCCATCCTGGACACGTGCTTCAAGGGCCAGGTGTCAACGCTGCGCGTGCCGGCCGTGGACATGGCGTTCGCCGGCGGCGCGACGCTGAAGCTGGCGCCGGGCAATGTGCTGATCGACGTGGACGAGTCCACGACGTGCCTCGCGTTCGCGGCCACCGACAGCACAGCGATCATCGGGAACACGCAGCAGCAGACGTTCGGCGTCGTCTACGACGTCGCGCAGTCCAGGATCGGCTTCGCGGCCGGCGGCTGCAGCTGAAGAATGGCTGAAATGAACCGCACCTGCATCGCATGCATGGACCCAACTAGGTAAATCTGCAACCAGAGCACGCCAAGGTACTTGCAAATTACAATTACACCAAAGAAGATAAACAATGTCATAAAGCACTGATGGATGTGAAATAGTACTGTGTCAAACACAGGCAGGGCAACTGCAGTGTTTGCTCTTCTTCTGTCTGTACAAGTGCTTCAACCACTGTATGTATTGTAAATGTACAAAAGTATTGCAATGGCCTAAAGATTTGGGATATGATACACTTATGACTTGTTAATGTGTGTTCTCCAACGATTCATTGTTTTCCTATTTCCATTTGACGAACAATTTCCTTATCATAAATTTTGCAACAAATGACAAATGCAAAACACCGAGGCAAACTATTCAACTGGTTTGGATGTTTTGCCGCGTCCAATAACAGCTACTCCCTCTATTCACAAATATAATATGTTTTGAATATTTTAATATGGACTACATACAGGCTGACACAAGTGAACAAACACACTAAAACATGTCTATATACATCTGATTCAGAAAAAAGTTAAAACATCTTATATTTGTGAAAGGAGAGAGTACATGGATGGATGACAAGTACTGTACTTCTAGATGTGGAGGGAGCTGCCCATGATGGATGGCAAGACTCCCAGGACATGCATATATCGAAAGTAACAGCAAAACAAAGATACTGATAACTAACCGGTGTTATTCTCTTCTTCTAATAGAATTGCAATCTTCTTGATAAGGTTTCGTAGAAGAAAAAGGAAAACTAACACCAATTATATGAGAAAGTACAACTAGTTTACAGTTACATGCAGATAAGGACTTCGTCCATTTATAATCTGTTAATCTCTCGAGTGAAGAAGACCAAAAGTTTGTGAAGCAGCACATTCCATGCAGAACACAGATAGATGATCCAAGAAATCATCCTACATATAAAATAACCAGTATGTTGTCATTTCAACGGTCTGTAAATCAGCTCTTCAATGGTCCAGAAATCCCTAATCGGCATCCATTACGTCTCCAGGTCTTCACTGTTACAAGGGTACAATTAGTGTCAGGCACTAGATTGTGGGTCCTCATAAGAAAAATAGTAGCTTCTGAGTTGTAACTAAATTTATGCATACATGTTATAGTAATGTTGTTCATGTGTCATACAGTATGAGTTGGTTTCGAACAAAATCCACAGAAGTAATTCATATTTCATAAAGTACACATGACCAACCAAGAACCAACTAACGTCATATGGTAACAGCATAAAAACTCACAAGGGAAAATTCAGAGGTCTCTGTATTACACAATTGACATGATGCTCTAAATTTAAACCATTTCTGTATCACAGAAGTAGATGGTGTAAAACGCCGCAGGATGACCAGTTCTACATGATGAGTGATTGCTTTCTGGGGATTGACAGATCTCGCTGCCGATAAACCGATTTAATCATCTTTTGGACTAGAACCAAAAATGGAGACTAGGAATCCTTCAGAGCCAACTGGTAAGGGCTCATGTCATGTCAATGGCTGGGGCCTAACATATATTGTTCGTCAGCATACACCACAGGACAGCTGAAAGGGACCATATTAGTCTTGCATGTGGGGTAATGGCAGCGGTGTGCAAGACATCCAAATGGCTTTGGGGTGTGCTTTGTCTTGGAGTTGGCTATGGCCTACAGATAGGATAATATGAAAGGGTTCTTCGACATTGACACGTGAGCTGTGAAATTGGAACACTTCTACGTGGTACCCACCAGGCAACTGGCTTTGACAAGAACAATTTATGATATTCAGTTTCTTATTGTTGGATTCTTTATATGGTATTAAGTGAAGGCTGCACAAAATAAAAACAAAGAGCAACAAACATGTGCTGGTTGGTGTTTCACTTTCTGATGTTGCCACATTAAACATATTTTAGGAAGGTAACTTAGGGCCATGGTCTGAGTTTTGTGACAGAAGCCTATGTCATAATAATTTTGTCATACACAAACCAATTTAGGTTACACGGTTCAGGTTCACAGCAAAATTCGGAAGAGATGGCACTGCAGAGACCTAGACCCTTGTACCAAAAGTTGGATGAACCATGTTTCTGGAAATTACGCTTAGTTCTCCAGTAGAGCAGTGTCATAAAGTAAAAAGTTCAACAATAATTTCACTTCAATTTTGGGGCCATAAGTTAGCAACCCCCCACCCCCAGGTGGTATCGATTTACATGCACCAGACAATTCACCCAAAAGCTCAAGGTAATCGAGAACCATGTTTTATTAGAGTGCCCCAAATGGTCTTCGACTTGCCTGCAATCATGTTGATAGCGCCAACGACGACTTGGGACATGTCCACGGTCATGAGGAGAACGGCCTAGGGTGGCGTGGAAGTCAGGATGCAAGCTGGACAGGACTACCCGCTCGGCCGCAACACCGCCCCGCAAAGTATGCCCGCTAAGCGCCATTGGATAGACCATATGGTCATAAGAGGGCTCAAACGATATGGCCGCTTTGTCCGGCGGGCGCTGCAGCATCCTGCATCTCCAACTAAAACATAACTCGTACTATGAGCTCTATCCAACCGGGAGAATCCCCAAAAATTCACACCAGTAAACGAGCAAGCCGGATCTACTATACATGTACAGTAAACTCGCACCCTGAAAATTGCGCGGCCGGGGGCGGTCTGCGGCAGGGCAGTGTTGCCTGAGGTGGCGCGGGAGATGGACTGCATGGATGCGCAGTAGGGAAGCTGTGCTGGCTGCTGCGTGCTGCAGGTGAACTGTGCCCTGGATGTGAGGAAACGCCTTATGCCCTTACCTGCTTTCTAATCCCTGTCACAGTTGCATGATTTTGGATGTATGCGGCTTTCACGAATTGCCGCTTAACCAACAAGGAAACACCCGAGCACATGCAAACCGCCGGGACCACGACCACCCGCACTAGCAAGTGCAGGCTGACCGTTTCCCGCCCCGCCTACATCCTGACATGGAAGGCAAACATGGTCACAATCACAACAGTCTAGCAGTTAGTCATGGGGTCAGTGGACACACTCATGGTGGTCGCAGGCATGGCGGGTGCGTCCAAACGCATGCAGCCTTGGAAGGCTTAGACTGATGGGTCATGGCCGAGCACGGTCCCGTGATCACCAAATGGCTCGGCCAGTCAAGCAGTAGATGCAAACTTCGTCCTCCCGGTCTTAAAGGCCGCGGGCATAGCATGAACACTGGCCACCCCACTATTGGCCTGGACATGAATGTTGGCTTTGGCGGAAAACGATGAGCGACATGGCTAAGATGAAGGACGTGAGGGTAGCGGGAGTGGAGAGACGAAGGTCGTGAGGGCAGTGGGCTTGGACATGGAGGTGGTGAGACTAGAGGGGAGGCCAAGAGGATGTACAAGGTCGTAATAGCGCAGGTAATTGTGTACTCATGATTGTAGGAGCAAATGATGTACTCATGATGTAGGAGTAGAGATCATGGTCAGATTTTTGAGAATGCAGTAGTCGGCGTAGAGACCATGTTCAAGTCTTATGTGCATAAGCAATTTTATGGAAAACACTGCCATGACAGAGAAACCTGAGTGAATCCAAGTTTTCTCTGCCACGGCAGTGACTTTCTCTTGAAATGGCAGCATCTTCTCACTATTTTGTTCGAGTAAAATATTTTGGCATGTCACTATTTTTACTGTAGTGGTTCTTAAGCACCACTGGTAACATAAGAGCTAAAACCAGACAATATAAAGATGAAGAGAAGATGCCATATATGCGATGCGCCTAGAGAGAACCACACAAGCTGTATTCAGCCACGAAAGTGAGCTTGGAAGTGGCATCAGTTGCTGTTTGTGTACAATGTAGAACATATGGAAGAGAGCTTAGAAAGCAGGTAGAATACATCCAGACGCGAGCAAATGGACTAAGAATTATGGTCCTAAAAGATAAGAATTTAATTCAGATGTTGTAAAGTAAGTACAATTGAGCAAGGGAACAACTTTGAAAGATCTTCCTAAAGAGCTACATATGGCGAAGACTACCTTGTGGTAGAGGTTAAAGGAAGGAAGGCTCATCCGTCACACCAATGTCATCAAGCACACTTTAACAGAGGAGAACAAGTTTGGCAGAATATGGTTTTCTTTATTCATCTTTGATGATCATAGCATTTGGAAGAGCCCACATCAAAAGGATGTACAATATCATACACATCGATGCAAAGTAATTGTACCGCACTTGGGGTACTCAGAATTATTATTTGGCACCAAATGAGGATGATCCTGACCACAATAAACAGAGCCATGGTTTTATCGAGAAAGTTATGTTCTTGACGGAGGTAGAAATGCCTCGACAGATGTTGATGGTGCCATTACATTTTATTGGCAAGATAGGCCTTTGAGCTTTCATGTATGAAAAAATGGTAAAGACTAGTAATAAAATCCGTGAGGCGGGAATGGTCACCAAGGTTCTACTGGCAGATGTAAGTCATGATTACATGGTTGATAGGCTTCTTCCGGCCATAAAGCAGAAAATAGTTAAACAACGGAACACAACTGCAGCACATACATACAACAAGACAACACTATTAGGACCAATCACAGCGGCGGATTAAGTTCGCTAAAGCAAAAGGTAAACATGCACTTCAGAGAGGAACAAATCTTTTGAGGAAAGATGCGATAATTGTTCGTGCATAGTAGATCACAGGTCTGACTATTACGATGATAATGTAGTAGGTCAGCAGATATAGTAGCATGTGAAGATATATGACAACAATATAACCAAGAGGAATACTAGCTAGGAAAACAGGTATAACACCGAATGAAAACAAGCTGAATAGATAGAGACAAGCACAGAGAAGATCATGCTGACAAACAACCTAAGTACGAACTAAAAGGATGCGAACCGATAGAGTGAAACAGAGGAAAGCACGAAATACTAAAATAGATCAGATAAGTCTATCGACAAAGAGCACGAAAGTAAACTGCTAAGGGAAAAGAAGTAAAGTAAAGTGAACCAGTGGTGCTC